CCAATTTGCAGACTGTTAGTATTACAACAGAGTTTTCCCAAGTAAACACAGATGAAAAGGAGACAAAAGGAGATAATACTCTTCTTTATAGCTTGAAGACAGAAAGGTGATTGCAGACACAARACAGGTGTGTAAAATTTCTCTCACTATTTACAGAATATCTCCTCTCTGATGCTCAGACCTCTAGATCTAGTGTGGACTTCAGAATTTTTCCTACTTGAGTGAAGGGAAAATGCCGAAATAGTCTTAAATCATATTTCCATTTCCCTGATCACAATCATTCTGGCTAAACAGAGGCAGGTTTGCTCTGTTGAGAGYTGAAAATGGCTGTTCAAGAAGCATGGTGCACCCACAGAAGCCTTTACGTGGTGGGAATTCTTGCTGAGGTTGCTCACATGGATTTTTACATCATTTACACTATAATCAAGTTTGAAATACAATATATATTAATAATAATAATATAAGCAATATACTACCCCTAGTACTGTTGGAATATTTCATTATTACGTGGTAGTTCTCAAACTCCGTATTTGTAGAAAGTCCCATATGCATTTTTTACTTCTTTCCTGCAGATATGTAGCTTGCTTCAAGTTTATTAAAACTGTCTGCTAAGCATTACAGATCACATAGCACAAAAATCGTACGTTTATCATTTTCACCTTTCTCTTTTTTATTATGATTACACTAAATTAAATATAATTTAAGAGATATGAAGGAAAAATTATTATGGCCCCCAAATTAGTGGTATAATAAATGGCTCTTCAAAACTATTTCTAGAATGTGAGAGGCAGATTTGTTTCTACTATCACTGAGAAACAGCAGCGGGGGGTTTAGTGGCACTTCAGAATACTGTATGGTCCAGAGAATTGTGTGAAAGGTGACCAAATGTAAAACCTTTTGAGCAAATATATTCTCTAAACGGTAGTGGCAGAGACAATTGTTTGTCCTCTCAACTGTAAATATGCCAAAATAARCAGTTTTAATAGTGCTCAGTGGCAAGGATAATCTGAAGATTAACGTGCAAGTYGGATTGCTGGCTTTGGTTTTGTCCTGTATTTATTTGAATGTAATTTAATTTTTTTTTTTCATTATTTTGCCTTGATGCCTTTCTTCTCATTAGCAATAATAACTTGTTTAACATGTTGAAAATTAGATCACTGGCTTTTTTAAAGAAAGGGCTTGAGATGAAAAGATAAAAGGGATGGCTGCTGTAAATAGCTAAATATCCCTCCAGAAAAAAAAAAAAAAAAAAGCCTCAGAAATGTATTACTGAGAGGTTACAGGATCTAGTGCTTGAGAAGTGACATTATTCGTTCAGTATGAGTATTGCTTCAGTGCCCTAACATGACGTTATGGCATGGCAGTTTTGCAGATGTCATCTATCAGACGAGATGTGCAACTGAGAACGTAACCTCTAATGATTGTAAATTGTCTCCTGGTGTTTTTCACAAGAAAAGAGATTATATGCCACTTCTGGCTGGGTCTAATTTGCTTACCCAAATTATCCTGCCAGTTGAATTGTGTATATTCTTCATTGCTTTCTGCTATAAAATTATGTTGCTAAACACTATCATTTCACTGGAGAATAATATAGGTTCTGTGAATGGCTTGTTTTAATTTAAATAAAGCAGAATAAAAGGTAGTGTCTCCTCATCAGGTAGACACAGCTATTGCTACAATTAAAATGTTACTGTCCTGACTACCAAAAGGAACCTTTGTCATTAAAAACAAAAAAACAAAAAAAAAAAAAAAAAAAAAAAAAAAAAAAAAAAANAAAAAAAGAAAAAGAGAGATCTCTGTTCTCCCACCTCTTTTTTTGGTCATAGGATACCTTTTCATATAGCTCTTATCATCTGAAAAGAAAAGCCGCAGCTCAGCATTTCAGAACCTCATCACATCTGAAAAGATGCTGAGCCTTGCAAGATGAACAGGAGGAATTTAGTTAGTAAAACAGTAATATATTTTAACTATTCCCTTGTTATTTTACCAGTGGGTGGTGGTGGCAAGAGTCTGATGTAAAGAAAAGTCTGTAGTGCTCACTGATTTGAAACGGGAGTTTGCTAGTGGTAATCCTTAGGAGAAAGCTRCACCTCTGAAATCCTATCTCTGTAAATTTTCCAGTTCTGACTTCTACTTTCAGAATTAGTTTTGTTCTTCATAGTTTTAAAAAATATCCTCCCATATGCTCATACCAGTTTTTCAACAAGGCAATTGATGGTCACCTTGGAGAAGAATTATTTTGTTTATAGACTGGATCCCTTAATCATTTACTTTATTTTAAAAGGAAAAAGAATAAAGAATTAATGTAACTATTTTTATGTCCTTTCTGGTTTCATATAGAATCCTGGGAGTCATGGGTATCCAGCTAAGACATTAATGATCTGTAATTGATTTTACTATTGTACCTGCTGAATGTACTCAGCATATCTGCAAGAGACAGAAAAAAAAATTGAGATTCTTGATGGATCCATTAATTCTGATTCTGAATGTAGGGTTATTTATATTCTTAATTCAGGCATAATTCTGCAGTGATTTTGAGGCTTTTGGATGGTTTCACAAAGGCCCCTTGTGAAACCTTCTACTAAGCAGAAGTGGTTTCAGTTTTTTAGAGCAGCAGGATTCTCCTCTGGCTGGCGCAAGGAAGGGAGAGGTTCTCAGTTCTCTGTGGCACAAAGGCTCCTTCTGCTGGTGAACAATCTCAGAGGAAGGTGGTAGTGCTGGTAGGTATCACTGCCTGCCTCAGAGCCTGTCTCACCTGGGGCCGAAAAAGTGGGGACAGCAGCAAGTGGAATTTTACATATAAACAGTTTCACTGGCTTTCCTCCCTCCAGCTGTTTTTTTTGACCATCTGTATTGAGTGTTGACAGTGAGAAGTTTGTTCTGCTACAATTTTTCCATTAATGAACCTTCTATTGCCCATAATTAGGAGATTTTGGCTGGATAGTCCATTTGGTTTTGAACCCAGGGGCATTCTGTTTTAAAAGCAGGATTTCTTTCCTGTTTGTGTTGGTGACACAGAATCAGAGCAGAATAAACCAAAGGAGCTTGATCATTTGCTGGTGCTTCTTCAGCTAATATGTTTTGTTTGTTACTGGGGCTGCTTTGTCCAAGCAAGTGACACAGAACCGGGGCTGTTGTCCTTGCAGTCAGTGAGCTGGCTCGTTACTGCTGCTTCAGGTATTTCTACCTAACCATGCAGAATTATGCTTTGCACAGAGTACCTGTCCTAAAGATGGCAAAATAAATTTGTTAATCTCCTAAGTATAGTGGCCATTGTGATGGACAATGGCATATTTCTTCACAAATACTTTAATTCTTTCATCTCAGTAATGCATATTTTAGCGCCAAAATGATCAGTTTTGTGATTTACAGATCTCATGCTTCCCTGAAGGAGTATGATGAAGAACTTTATTTGCAGTGGTTTTACTTGGAGCTGCTTAGTGCTGTGTAAATATTGCAAAAGTAGTGCCCTTTAGAATTCCTTCTCAATTATCTGACTGAAGCTCAAGAAATATTCACACATATATTCTTCTCCTGGACATTTCAACAATAACTTTAGTACGGAGTCAACAGTATGTGAATACTCTCTTTAACATATTCTCAAGCAGGAGCATTCACTGTTAGGGTCAGCAACTTGATGTAAAACATTCAGAAACTTGCAGTGAGGTTCATATGGTCTTAGCACAAGAGAGGGAAGTGACAAAGCCTGTTTTGAGTGATGTTTGTTTTACCTTGGTCTTTTAGACTATGCTTTTTTTTTATACTTTGACTCAGCGAGCACCTCTTATATCTAAGGATTGTAAGAGTCGTCGTCTTTTCCTGATTTTTTTCTCCTGATTGTGCTGTGTGCAAAATGAGGAGTGACTGGGAAAGACGTGGGAGATTCTTAACATGGGAGATTCTTGATCCCTCTTTGCTATCCAAAGATCTTATATTGCAGAAGGGGCATAAGTGCAGCGTGGAAGCCAGGAGCTGACTTGATTTGCATTATTCATGCAATCATCTTTTGCTCTTCTCTGTTTAATACCTTTCAGTATTCTGATTGAATAGTCAAAATAATATTGTGTGAGTTTATAGATTTGTCATGCTCTTTGAAGAGCACACAATTTATCTGTAGACAGTTCATGAGTAAGGATTAATTAACTAAAAGACTCAGGCAATCTTGCTGAATAACTAATATATCCAAGTTTAGTTTGCAGACAACAAAAGAACAGAAAAGAAGGCGAAAGGATCAGGCAGCTTGTTTACAACACATGTGGCATTTCCATCCACTCTAGCTCTAAACTGTAGCTGTTTCAGTTGCTTCTGGAAACAGAACAAGCCTAGTGACACCTTCTGTAAGTGAGCTTGGCTRTACAGAATTTGTCTACCACATACATCAGATAGAGATGTGACCAAAACACACTGCAAGCTGTAGATGTAAGCTGTAGTCAGGACACAGAGAAATACGTGCTTGTAGATGTCCTCTCAAGTGCACAGGCAGGAATTTGGCCAGTGAAGTCTCTGCTGTTGCAGAGACACTGTTTCTTGTAGCTTCCCTGTTACATGGACAGGCCACTTGTATAGGTGGATTTTTCTTTAAAAGTCTTGTCGTCAGTGTGGGTAAAATACAATCAAATGGGCAAGATTGATGCTGGATTTCACTGCTTTTCTCAGTTTTCCCATCTGTAAGTTACAATTTGAGATACTTTCTTTCTATCTTTCTGACCTATATGTTAAGCATTCATCATGTGCCAGTCTTAAATATGTTGAATAAAGAAATGTAACATCTGATTAAACCAATACTTTACTAGTGTGACTTTCCTGCTCTGTCATTTTTGAGATTTTTTTTTCCTCAAGACTCTGTATTTGATACCTCCAGGATTACAAGAAATGATTTCCTTTGTAGTTGCCCTTGGCTCACAATGTTTTAAAAAATTATGGCTCACAATGTTTTAAAAAATTATGGCTGAATTATATATCTCTTTAGAGCACTTCTAATTATGTTGTTTTTGCAGCAGTCACTGAAAAGAAGAGGGAGCAAAGACTTGCAAAAATCAGAAAAAAAGTCACAGCAGACACCAACAGAGGTATGCTAAAAGAACAGCACCTTGGATGCTCATATTGAGGCTTGAGGGATTCTATGGACATGTATGTGATCTGTAGGTTTGGATGTCACTCACTTGTTTACTTTGCTCTGTGTTGTTGTGCATGCTGTGAAATGGGGAACTCTGACCCAGGTGCTGCAGTCAGATGACTGTGTCAGGGACCATCTAAATAAACTACTGGTGCTGCAACAGAGCCCACTATCTTTYATGTACTGTATCCTTTAGGCAAAATAAGCAAATGGAAGCAGCAGTGAATCAATATTATAGGTCCTTTGCATACTGGTTTCAGCATTTTTAAATACTTTATAATGTGAGGCAGGTCTTAGTTACCTAACATTGGAATATATAATTTTAAAAAGTCACTGTTTTTACTGTTGTGTGAAGCAAGAAAATATGCATTTTGTTTTTATAAGGGGCCTCAGTAAGGTATTTTCTGGGGACTGTTCAGACTTTCACTGCAAGCACTATAGGTTTCTCTACCTCTTTTCTCTTAAAAAAAAAATTTGTCTTTAATTTACTGATCAATGAAAAAAAAAAAAGATTGTAATAGAATCTCTTAGTAACTAAGGCTAAGTACTTTTGGTTATTAATCTTGTAATTTAAGATCATCCACTGGAGGTCTCCTGTTTTACATCATGTTTCTTCAAGTAATTCTTTTTCTTTTCACTAAGGAGGATAATGAAGACCTGAAATGCCAGTTGCAATTTGTCAAAGAGGAAGCAGCCTTGATGAGGAAAAAAATGGCCAAGATTGATAAGGAGAAAGACAGATTTGAGCACGAGCTGCAGAAATATAGATCATTTTATGGGGATTTGGACAGTCCCTTGCCAAAAGGTGAAGCAGGTGGGCCACCTACTACAAGAGAAGCTGAACTCAAGCTTCGATTGAGACTTGTGGAGGAGGAAGCGAACATTCTTGGGAGGAAAATAGTGGAACTAGAAGTAGAAAACCGAGGACTAAAGGCAGAGCTTGATGATTTAAGAGGAGATGATTTCTCAGGGACTGCTAATCCGCTCCTGGGAGAACAGAGTGAATCCCTGTCAGAACTGCGACAGCATTTGCAGTTAGTAGAAGATGAGACAGAATTGCTGAGGAGAAATTTAGCTGATTTGGAAGAACAAAACAAGCGCATAACAGCTGAGTTGAACAAATATAAGTACAAGTCTGGGGCCCATGAGAGCTCGAGGCACCATGATAATGCCAAGACAGAAGCCTTACAGGAGGAGCTAAAAGCTGCACGAATGCAAATCAACGAGCTGAGCGGCAAAGTCATGCAACTGCAGTACGAGAACAGAGTATTAATGTCTAACATGCAGCGCTACGACCTGGCCTCTCACCTTGGCATCCGTGGCAGTCCTAGAGACAGCGATGCTGAGAGTGATGCAGGAAAGAAAGAAAGCGACGATGATTCCCGCCCCCCTCACCGCAAACGGGAAGGCCCCATTGGTGGGGAGAGTGACTCCGAAGAGGTACGAAATATCCGATGCCTGACGCCCACGAGGTCTTTTTATCCTTCGCCAAGTGGGTGGCAGAAGAGCTTCACCGACAGGCAGCAGATGAAGGACATCCGCTCTGAAGCAGAGCGGCTGGGCAAGACGATAGATCGCCTCATTGCTGACACGAGTACCATCATAACGGAGGCCAGAATATATGTGGCTAATGGGGATCTGTTTGGACTGATGGATGAAGAGGACGATGGCAGCAGAATCCGCGAGCATGAGCTTCTGTACCGGATCAACGCCCAGATGAAGGCGTTCAGGAAAGAGCTCCAGACTTTCATCGACAGGCTTGAAGTTCCAAAGTCATCAGATGACCGAAGTGCAGACGAACCTTTGTCAGTGAGTCAGGTAGACTTTTACTTATTACGGCCTACAGGTAAAAAGGCTCTGCCAAATGAATTAAGCTTAAAATTTGATGTATGGCACGTTAAAGTGGTTATGTTAGATAGTGGACAGAAATCTCTATCTTCTGAATTATTTACACCTGATCATATGAGACCTGTTTCCATCAGTTTTCCATTGTGAACAATGGTTAACTATGGTCTCCATGAAATTAAAAGAATAATACTAGAGTTAACAAGCATTAAAAGAGATGGAAGATTCCTTTTTCTGGTTTTGCAACTGTGTTTACCAGAATTGTGCCATAATCACGAGCAAAAGCAGAGCAGACAAGTTTTGTTATGAAGCAATACTGTGAAACCATTATCAGTGTTATTTTTGCATTTTCACAACAGAAATGAACATGTTTGTTTTATTTGTAGTGGATTTTCTGTTAAATGAATAAAAAGAAAGACCCAATTAAAAAGAGGAGGATACATTCTGTTTCCAAAACGATAAAGAAATGGCAAATCTGTTTCTTAGAGTCAAAGAACCAAACTGCAGAATAAAAGAACAAAAGAATGARTAAAAGAACTGCTGAAACCGACTGCATTGTTGGTTGATGGGCTGTGGGTTGCTGCTGTCAGGTAGCAGTGACTCGTGTCTTTTCTACAGTTTTTTTTTGCCTCTCACATCCTTGCAGAAAACCAGCAGTGAACATTCTGCATATGCCATGCAGAGCTGTTCCAGATTGGTTTTAGGGAGTAAAATCCTGTCTCACTCTTGTCTATTTTCTTTTGCAATGGGAAATGAAAATTACCATGTAATACTATAATTGGCAGATACTGTTGTTGCTCATAATATTATTCCAATGTTTTAGTAACTCTCTTATTGTGTTAATTCACTTTGTGCTGTCCTGCTAGTTTACAGTCAGAAGAGTGGCTAAATGAAGCTGAAAGCTATTATTTCTTTTTCCTATGCTGACTAATTAGTCTTTTGTTTCCTTGTATCAGAAAGTCACAGACGCAGTGAGTTTAAAGCTAATCAATTACTATACATGTACTGCATGAAATCAAACAGAAAAGACATTTAGCATGCTCACTTTCTGGTCTAGCAATAACTCAGCTTGTAGAGCTCCCATTATCTTAAAGGTAGAGCACTGCATGGTCTTATAMAAATTTAGAGTAAACTAATTCATATTTTCTTTAAAAGAGTAATAGAAATAGTCAAATTTATCTTTTCAGAGCTAGACCATGCAGAACTACTTAAGCCAATGGGAGATGGGCTGGTCCCTCCACAAGCATAGTCTAATTCACTATTTATTTTGTTGAAACTTTGGACTTGCTGTTCCATTAATTGACTGTTCTCTTTGTCTTTGTATTTACTTTCCCAGATGTTCCAGCCTATCATTTTACTTATTCTCATCCTTGTATTATTTTCATCCCTTTCATACACAACAATATTTAAGCTTGTCTTCCTTTTTACACTGTTTTTTGTACTGTAAGCCATTCGTCATTTACTGTTCATTGTAGTATTATTTTCAGTTTGTTTATTTTGTCCACCCTCCAAGATAAGAACTGCAAGAGACATAGTTTCTGTAATAGCCACTGCTGTAAAAACACTGAAGACTACTTGTTTGCCAAAAACAAAAAAGACAAAACCAAAAAAGCAAAACATATACCAAAAAGTCACACAGTTCAATAGGAGACTCTCTCACCAAGATATTCCAGGTGAGTAAATAGAAAATGGTATTTTTCATTTTGTCTGTTTTTATCATGTTAAAATAAAATATTTCTGAATGAATGGAAAAAAAWTAACTAATATTCATTAATTTGCACCGAACTAGAAGCAGAACAGACTTGTGCACAGTGAGTATGAGGCGTCTGTTCTTTCTTCTTCCCAGTCCCAGAAAAAGAATTTGTATTCTAGCCATATATAAATACTAAACCACTTTCAGTATATATTCTGCAACTATATTTCATGACTTGTATATGTTCTGCATAATCTTGATGATTTTTTTTTTCAGCACTGTATTATGTTGATTATGTGGATGATGAATCCAAATTCTATCTTATAGTGACAATTTTGTATTAGTCTGCTTCAGAAGAGATTAAATTTTGCAGCTTCTTGTTATAGTACTGTGAGTTCTAGATTTACATCTCATTTTAATTCTGTMGTGTGAACACAATACTTCACACTGGGGAACCTGGAGAACTGCTTAGTTACTTCTTTGGTTAATTCAGTTTGATGGGGGAGAGAGGGAGGGAGGCAGCATAAGACAGGTTGATGTAGAAGGCTTATTTGGAAATGGAGCAAGGAACCCGAACACCTGAGATGGACCTAGGCCAGGGTGGTGCATCAGGGCCGGCAAKGAGCCTTCTGAGAGCAACAGGCCGTTTGTATTCTGTATTTATTATAGAAAAACATGGTGTCACACAGTATGGTGTCTATTGTCAAATGTCAGTATTTTGACTTGAACTAAAGTAAGTAAAGTAAGCAGTGCTTAGTTACCTTGTCTGATGTCAAAACAGCATTTCCTAGCGACCTGCTTTATAAGGTAGCATTTTCCAGTGTAGCCTGGTGGCTGCCAGGGCCCTGCTTGCTCTCATTCCGGTTTGAGAAGAAGTGTAGAATGAACATGATGTCTCTTGGCATGGTGAGGGACCTTGCTGCCCAGCCACCCCGAGGACAAGTGAGGTGCCTGTCTGTGTTCCTCTGCATGGATGGCCTCAGAGTATTTCTGTCTTGCTTGCAAGGTGCTGCCTGAACTAAGAYGACTCATGGTATCCTTCCTTGTCACACTGAATCTGAGCAGTGTGACGGGAGTAGCAGGCCCTGCACTGTGAAGACTTCATTCAAAGTGGTCAGTAGAGCTCAGTTTTTTTTCTGATTTATTCAACATATGTTGAAGCCATCCAACAGGTTTGAATTCTCCAGAGTCGAATATTTGCAAGTATCTAAGTCTATTAATGGAGTTTCATTAGGCAGATGCCATGATAAAGCCTCTGGTAATAACCGGTATTAAATAAAGTAGCTGCTTTTCCACATATCAGTAATGATTCCCTTTGATTTCTCATGCCAGCACTCTGTTCACTTCACTTGTGAAGTGAACATCCAAGTGAACAGCTATCTCCAGCTAATCAGAATCCTGCCAAGGGTTCTGCTCTGCTGCATAAAATAATTCCATTTTGAGAGGCAAGCAGATGTTAGTCAATATAATTTATATTATGGGRACTAAAAATGTAGTAAACTCACTACATTCAGAATTTCARAAMMAAAMMAAAAAAAAACTCATTTTTTTTCTCCTTATTACTTTCTTCAAGCATAGTAACCTCAATTTGCAATGCACATGTTAAACAAGTGAGAATTATAGGCTTAAACTTGTCATATCAAATCTTAGCACAAGATTGACTTTTTGTTTTTGCTTGGGAGAAAAATACTGTTTTCTTAAATGTTATTGAACCATTCCCTTAAAAGAAAAACACATACTCAGATCTGATCTGGTGTTCTAAGCTTTTTGATTTTAACTCACTTTTCTCAGTCATGTATAATTAATATGAGTAGAGAGGGGTTCATTTACATCAAGATTATCAGTACTAATGTAAAATAGAGAGAAAACATAATACAGTAGTTTGGAAAGATGTGCTTTGTTCTCAGATATCAGGAAAGGTGAATGTCAGTGAACCTCTTGAGTCAAGAAATGAGAAATCCCTACACAGAATTGGCAGTTATAACCTCACTGATTTCTCACTGTGGTTTTCTTTCTTATACTTCAGGTTTTACTTCATGTGAGCTGAACTTTCCTAACCCTTATTCAGTGAGACATCAAGAAAGCAAATCAAAGTTCAAAATTTTGGGACATTTAGGGAACGATTGCAGCAGCTGAAAATCTGAAATGAAAGGATCCCAAGGCATCCCAAGCCCTTTCAGAAGCTTCCCCCAGGCCTTGTATCTGTGATGAGCAAGGAGAACTGAGTTCCCCTGCAAACTTCAATACAGAGAAACCTTTATGACAAACGAGACATTTTTATCACAGTCTGCTGCATCCAGCTTGAAGGGAACGATGAGCTGCTTATCTTTTTCACGCTAGATACTGCAGAGAAGTTCACAGCCTCCCCCTTTCTTCACTATTTTGAAAGCTGCTGAGAAAGCTAACAAAATCAGCACAGGAATCTATCCATAGCCAGAAGGCAACATCTAGCCAAAGAAATTTGTGCTGTCTTGCTAAATTGAAATTACTTGGTCTCACAAAGAAATGTGGTAATACCTGTGAGGAAAGCAGGCAGATTCTTCCTGCCCAGTTCCTGGTCTAGTGGGCAAAGTCCAGCTCACTGGCCGGTGAGTAAGTTCAGTGCAACACATCTGCATCCTTTAGCTGGAGTGCATGGGAATCGGGCAAAGAAGGGACCGGGCTGCCCTCCTAGCACTGTCACACTGGCCAGAGCACCAGGCAGAACACGACTGATTGATTAAGTTTTGTCTGCAGCCCAGAATGTAATTCTTAGTAGCAATAAGAGTAAGGGCAAACAAGCCAAATATTCCAGGTGGTCTGGCTGCTCAAATTTCAATTACGCTGATGGCAGATTCACAGATCTCGTTTTGGAAGCAAGTAACTTCTTAGAATGTGTTGCAATAGCAAAATATAGTGGGTATGTGAAACGGTTTTGCCTCTGTGGATCAGCTGTTGAACATCTTTGTATGATATTCTTGTCATTTCAGATAAAAGGAGGACATTCCCAGTTTGCTTTTCAGTAGCATTGCCCCTGATTTTCAACTCCCCAGTTAGTGATCTCTTCTCTAGTTGTTAGTGTTTGTTCTGATAGCATACAAGCAGAGTCAGAGAAACACAGAAAATTGAACCAAGAGCAGAGACCAAATTGTCACTGGCTGAACAAAAGCAGGGCACTTCTGAAGAGGCAGCTACCTGTACCATTGGTCTTTCTTGTGTGGAGCTGCTTAGATGATTCAGATCCCRGTAGTATAAACACAGGAAATATAATGGAGTTCATAAATTGCTTGAGTGGCCACTCTACATATATATTAGTATGCATGATATAATAATAAGAGATTAAAGAAATTATCTCTTAAAACTCTGGTTTTTTTTTTCAAATGAAGGAAAGGCCCTTTAACAATAAAGAAGAGGATCTAATTAACTGAAGTAGTGCTAGGACTTGTAAGTGTGCTTATAGAGCAAAGCTCACATGCTGAAGAAGCTTGCAACATCACAGTAACCTTTATGTAGTATACTACGTCTCAAAGGTCATCATTAGAACTTACCTGGGGAAGTTACCTCAAGTCATTTAATGTACAAGTGATGTGCAGTTCCTCTGGAGCACAGAATAGGAACGACAAAAGTATGCAGTCTTGCAAAGCTAAAAAGCACAATGTTTATTGCTGTTGATAGGCCTGTTGAAGTAAATGGTGCAACTCATCCACGATAGGGAGGTCTAAGTGTTRGAAAGATTATGTAAGAGGACACAAAATTGCTACACAACCTTTAGGTGGTAAGCACCATCCGTGTGAATTGGATGCAAGAAAATTGGAATTTGGGCAGGATATTAGGATTAATAGCCCATTCTTCAAAAGAAAAAGATTTTTAAATTTTAGGTTGCCTTGTTTTACATTACTTTGAAAGATTAATTTTGTTTCCTATGTCCTCACAGCATTCATTCCGTGTTCTTCCAAAAAGAAGAGATCTTCTTGACTCTATAAATCTAATTCTGATACTTCTTCACCTTCATAAATTAGAAGTAACTCAGATGATTTTTATGTCATTTAGCGTATGCATTTTTCCCTTCAGTGCAACCAGAGAAATACAAATATTTGTATCCTATTTAGCATTTGCTCTGAATGCCCTGACAATTTACTTTTACAAATATTTTCTTCACTGTTACAGAAAAATTCCAGTTCTACTGGAGTGATCATCACCTCCAGGATCAGTGATATTTCTTTCAACTAAAAATAGCCATGCCTGCAGCCCCAGTTAGAGAGAGTAAGTGTTTGCTGACACTTGTCACCAGAATGAATACTAGGAGACAGCAGGTGCCATAGTGCAGAAATATGCCCAGCAGTCGGAATACAGAAAATTGCCAAAACCACGACTGTCTAAATATGTGTTATAAAAAGACATGAACTGCATATGAACTTTGGGAGTTGTTTACAGAAAAGCAGCAGAGCTTTGGTATTTTGGATGCCCTTCCCCTTAGTCACCCCAAAATTTGATAGGTGGGTAGGAGACTTCTAAAGGCGTCAGTATCAGAGACCTGTTTCCCTTTGGCTTAGATTTCTGTCCCTGATTTTTTTTTTTAATGCTGGGGGAAGTGATATTCAAGCCCATCTTCTGCCATTACGCATCCAGATGCCTATGGGGAAAATTGCAGGGGCTTTATTTAAGGTAAACATCTAAAGTATCCGCCACTGATTTCCAATTTAACCTTGGAGAAGTGTCATGACGTAAGACTTTGTTGGCTCTGTATCCCTGCTGGTATATAATACATGCATTTGAAGAAGTGTACAGTGGTAAGAGGAGACTGAATTTGTATTCCTTTCTGCCCCTTTCCTTACTCATATGTGTATGCCATTGGGATTTATTTGCTAAGACTCTTGAGGTGTAAAAATCAACATTGTTCAGGAATCTAGCGTGTGGCTGTGTTGGTTGCAGAGTTCTGTTCTGTTCTTGTTACCAGCTTTATGCTGGCACAGCAACATGGATGTGCTGCAATCTACCTAGTACAGCAGAGGTGAAGAAGCCTGTCTAAAATGATCCTGAGCACAGAATAGCTACCAGAATACATATTTTTCAAGGTCCTGGATTATAGTCCGTGCTAATACTCATGCTCCTTTAATTTCAGTCTCGCAATTATTTAAATTATATTAAATGAGGCTTATGTTACATCTACCCCTTTTATTCCTATGTTACATTGATCTTTTTATTCCTATATTGGCACAGCCTACTAACTAGACCATGGCCACGTTTATGGGAATGTGTCAGGGATGTGATGAGGAGAAATTAAGCAGAGGACTTCTCTAAATTACCCCTGTATCTTTTGAGGTGCTGACTTTTATCAAAAGCAGGGCTGGTGCTTCATGTGGACAAAGTATGCTTTGCCTATGGAGACAATATATCAGATGTAATAAATTAGGATGGCCTTGTTGCTTGGKGCTGCTGAAGAGAGGATGGTCTTTGAGAGATAAATGATTTTTTTTTTCAACATAAGCAAAAGTAAGGGTGTCAAGAGCAGTGAGCCCTGGTTGTAGAGGTCTGTCTCTTTGCCTTCTTTTTCTTCAAGCTTTGCTTTGACTTTCCCATAGGAGGATGAATTTTAAATRGCCTTTTGACCTGTGTGCGGCAACATTTGTTTTTGCCTATTTAGCCTCAAGCTGTCTCTGAGCAGTCATCCTCRAGCTATGGGTAGGCCAGAAATTTTCTTTTTTCCAGGTGTGATCCTACAAGCGTGTGCTCAGAGAAGTGCCCGTGCCCATCCAGGAGAGCGCAGCCTGTGAGCGGCCAGGGGCAGGAAGGATGTAGCTGATGCCTTCCCAGGACAACGTACCCTTGCTCTGGTGATCAGCAGCTATGATGAGCATATGGAGACATTTTTATTAAATAAGAAAACGCTTTCTTCAAACAGAAATTTTTACAAAGTAGGACAGCACTTTAAAAATATGTCTAGTGGTCAAATCCCGCAGTCAGACAAGGAAGCAGTACTGTTTTAAGTTCAGGGAATCACGGATATGAGAAGGCAGAGCTCTTTCACAACCGTGTGAGCTTCAAGTCTTCTACCTCTTTAGTGAAAGCCGTGATCTGAGTGACATTCAGCTCCCAGGTCCTAATAAACAGCTTCATCCCCACTTATTTCTCWTTTCTCACATTGACAAGGATGTCGRATTTTGCCTGAGTGAAAACTCAGCCTTGAGATTTAGCCTCTTGTTTTCTTTAATTCTACCGCATTTTATTTCAAAGAGCTTGCATAACAGGACAAGGGGCATTGAGCCAGTCCTATTAAATACACGAGAATGACAGTGTGTGCTGAGGGGGCAGGGGGAGTGAAGCAAAGGTGTTTGGGGTTGTGCCTGCTTTGCGCGGGGCAGCGCTGGTGGCAGGAGGCAGCACATTCCCTGCACGCGCCGCCTTCGCTCSCAGCCCTGCCGGCTGCCGCCGCTGGAAGCCTCCTCCCGACTAACAGGCACGCTGCGACTTTATGAAAGGAGGGCTTTTAAATCCTGAGGGTAGAGAGGCTGGGAATTTTCTTTGGGAACATTTCATTGTGTACTTGAGCGCATTTGTTCAGTTTTCAGTGACTTTTGAAAAGTTTGCAAACAGCCTAAGTCCTGTTACTGTCTTACATGGGAGCAGAATAAGCACCCAAGTAATGTATTCACTGGGACTTACAGCTAGACCATATAAGGAGAAAAAATGTGTTTTCCCTGAAACCTGCTTTGGTATTTACTGCAAAAGGCACCCAGAGTTAAAATCTTCAYGCTATGCAGGGATTTTATCCCAGATCCGGCTCATTGTTCTCAAGAGGGAAGTGCTGACTAAGCTAAGGATGCCTGAATCCTCCCATCGTGTCCTTCGTCTCGCAAATCCTCCTGTCATCAACTGATCTGCTCTGCCCACAAAAATATATATCACTTCTGCTCAATGCATTCAAAGACACATATCTGACGGCAGCACTTGGCCATTATTATTATCATAGCCGTGTAGCACAAGACAAACACTGTGTGGCCCTTCTCCAGATACACATAGGAGAAATGTTTCCTGAAACATGAAATTTCTTACAAAGGGTTGGTCTCAGTCCTTGTCCACRGATGCCTCCACGTGTGGCAGTGACCAAGTCCCCAGCAGGGCCGCGGTGTTTGTGTGCAGCCTCTGCCCGGGCAGGATGACCTCACTCTGCCAAATAAGAATTTGGCACAAATAAAAGCAGCCCAACAACGTGTTGTGAAGCCAAATGGCACCAGCTGGTGTCCACACTGCTTGGGCGCTATTCTTTCTAAGGAATTTTTTTTTCTGAGACAGTGCCTGTGGGAATGGGTCCTAAACAGAGGGAAGGAAAGAGCTACAGTTAAAATTAGCAGAAACACCATGTGGTTACTGTGCCGCCCGGATGGAGTGGAAGCCAGGCCAAGTCTTGTGTCTGTAACCTGTYGTGGACAGACAGTTACAGTGAGATCTGTGAGCAATGAGGGCAATCTGACAGGGACTGCAAGTGTCTGCCTTCGAGTGATGCTGCCGTATGTGAAACATCCTTGCTAGCCTTGCACTGGAGGTGAGTTTCCCTGTGCAAGGGAGATTCTCCATCCAATTTGAACCAGGGACACAAAGTATCTTAACAGACTGGAGTATCTGACCCAGAGAAAGCAGCAGGAATATTGGGGTGTATCTCAAAAAAAAAAATTATCACCATTCCCAGAATGCCAGAAAATAAGATTGCACGATACCCAATAATTCCATTCTTTGTAAATAATAGTATATTTTAATACAGAAAAAAAAATTAGAGAGGAGCAGTTTGCTTTTCGGTCTTTAAGACAGCTGTTAATCAACAAAATTGCCTCTTTAAACCACCCTTCTTTACAAAGCAGTGTATAATGATCGGACTGCAAAGCTTAAAGTAATAATAAAAAGAATATAGCCCTGAAAACCGGGTTTGGACAACACAAAATAATTTCCCTTTACAACATTAGTGCTAATAAAAGAAGTCTAAAATTGCCTATTGTCATAGCTTTAATATTAACACTGGCTGCTTTGGCAAGCTTTAAAGACTGGGCTGCGCTATAAAACCTAAAAATGTCCTGGACTTGGAGTTGTTTACACAAAATATGAGGAGATATAAAGTTACAGAGCTGGGGGTTGGAAGAGATGGCTGTAGAACCGTCCTCCGTGCACTGACGTCACATGGAAGCCAGCTGCTAGGGTGATGCTAAACGGAACTGTTTTTCAGTTTGCAAAAGTTGTGGAGTTACTCAAAGAGATTTTCAAATGCTGCCCCGTTTGAAAGGTTGCCCCCTGTTTAGCTTTCTCTTTCCTTTTAAAGATCGAGATTTGCAGAACTGGATCTCAGCTAGCTATGCCTTTCACTGCTTTCACTGCTCTTTAGAAACGGACTGCAAAACTTCCAAAGGATTTCTTACTCCATGAAAGGTACGGTCTTGTTTTGTTTTAACTTAGTATTTTTGAGCAGTTTGGAACAGTTAAGATTTGAAAAACAGTGAAAATTACTAATGAGACAGTTTCTATTTATATGTTGTTTATATATTTAGGTATGTTGTACTTGTTCTTTATTTGTATGGACTCTTGATCAGTTCAATCAGTTTCTCCAGAGCAGGGACAGATATTTTAACAAAACAGAGATGACAGTTATCATTCTGAACACTTAGTCTTTGTATTTTTCTTTTCTATTTTCCTCTTTCTTTCCATTTCTTTCTTATTCTTGCATTTTTCTTTCTTTGTTCTTTATTTTTCTCTTTCTTTTTTTTTCTTGCTTGCTTGCTTTCTTGTTTTCTTTCTTGCTGTTTTCTTCTTTTATTTTCTTTCTTTCTTTCTGCATCTCTGCATTTCTCTGCATCTCTTTTTTCTCTCATTCAAATGTAATTTCTTTTTAGGTATGAAGTTAGGTATTATGACACCTGACATTCTTTTGTAACTGCATAAATAAATCTGTGATTTCCTTAGTCATTARTCATCCAAAATACAGCACCTTGTTGGAAAGACAGATTAATAGCTTTTTTTTTTTTTTTAACTAAAATCAAGGGAAAATTTGTGTATCTGAATGGTTATGCACACCCAATCGAGTTAATCTGTTGCAAAATACACTCTTTTCTGCTGACGACACTACACAGTATTTTCAGAATTTCCATACTACATATAGATGTTGATTTCAAACTGTTTTGTACCTTTAATATGTGGATAGAAATGACATAAATAATGGGGTAATAGTTAGATTGATATTACATAGTAACTTAAAATATATATATATACGTATATATTTGGCTTGAGAGGAAGGCGAACTAGAGGAAAAGTAAGGGGAAAATGCAGCTGATGTAGACAGAATTGATTATTTGCTCAAAGTTGCTTGCTATAATGAGCTTTTGACCTTGTCTAGGACATATCCCAAAAAAGCCAATACTGCAAGAGCACAGACACTGTTTTGATCCACACAGAAAATTAAAATCTTGTCTGTCTTTTGCTTATATAAAAATGATATAGATTTTTAAATACAAAAAGAGAAGTGATGTACATCTTACTGTGTTGCATAAGCCATATTGCCCATGAGGACATCCTAGTGCTGCCTACAGAGAGAGTGTATTACCAGGGCTACAGCTAAAAGTTTGTTCCTAGTTCCCAGGAAGGAAAAAGAACAAACAGAACTAAAGAACAAAAGAACAAAAGAAAGAAAAAGAGACACAAAGAGATAGGAGTTAAAGCTCTCAGAGGAATTTCCTCAAAAAGCAGCAAAAAGCAGCAAAACTTTATAGTCCTCCAGCTGCTAACATCAATAAACATGAGCTTTCCTCCCAGTGTTTGTGTCAGAAGGAAATCAGAGAAGAGTCAGAAGGAAATCAGAGAAGTGTAAGAAGGAGTATAAGCTTTCTGTGGAACTTTGGGCTACATGTAACTCTCCATATCTAAACTTTTCCAAAATCTGATTGCATTTTGATGGTCTCCAATCTATTTCTATAATTAGAATCCTATATAAAATAGCTTATAAATTGTTAAGGTGGATGCAAACATGGCAATTATAGTTCCCAGCACTAAGAAACTACAAGCAGTCTTTTAATACTATATGCATACTTGAAAGGATTACAGATTCTGTATCTGTTCTGATATATGTATATAAAATTATAGTGGATAGTATTGAGTTTCTCTCCAGTAATATGTATTTATTGCTGCTTATTGAATCATGATYGTTGCTACTAATGGTGCACTGGGAGACTCATGATTTCTATTACTTGCAGGCAGGTTATGCCTCTCTCTCTAGTTCATGATGTGACAGTGTTTCACAGTTTAGCTGTGTGCTTCTGGCACATATTAAAAAAATCTAGAGGAGCAGAGATAGAGAAATTACTTGAATATATTTYTCTGAGATGTCTTAGAAAAATTAAAAAGGCATAAATGTAGTCAAAAAAAAAAAATCAAATGACTTACAACTAGCAAATTGAGACCGCACTGAAATGGTTGTAAAGTTCTTTAGCAGTAGATGTTTAGACTGCAACAGATCTTTAATGCAACATATTTTGTATTCAAGTTGCTTCTCATCAGCACTTACTGAAGCCTTTGGCACAAAGCTGGAGCTTTGGTTTGGAGAGGTGCAGTTTCTATAGCCTGGCTGCCTTCCCTACAAAACCATGAGAAAACCAGAGCTTGATTTCTGTTACATTGAGAATGCTGCATTGTCTCTCAGCACCTCTCTCAGTTGAAGGGAATTTTGTAGTTTTGCAAAGCTGCTCTTTATGCTTCTAGGCAGCTGGAAAAAGAAAAAAAAAAAAGAAATCTGCAGATAGTTCAAAAGCAGATTGCCAGGAACAGAGCTCCGAGATGGCTGTGAGGCAAAATTTGAAAGAGCTAAGCTCCAATGTCGTGTTACATGGTGACTTGGTGACACTGCTGTGAAAGAGCCTGGCAGAGCTGTTCAGAACACAATCAGCCTGTTCTCTAAGGCGTCAATCCAAAACTCTTTGGGATGAACGGTTTTGCTCCCACAGAGTTTGAATTGGTCATTTGGTCCTTGTCAGCTGAAACATCCTGTAGCAAGACTTAATATGATACAAAGACCTAAGCAACCTGTCAGGCTTCAGCTGAGCTCTCTGCTTATTTGTTAATGAAAGAAGCTGGTTCCAAGTTTGGCATCAGCTCACAAATCAAATGAAATAGTGCAGGCTCTGGTAAGCTGTGATTATGTAGTATCCAGAGCTGAGTCAACATGGGTTGCCTAATAAAATACAGGATGCGAAAGAATTTTGAATGAAGCTCAAGAATGAATATTCACTATATCAAAGAAAATGTGGAAGATAAAATGAGCAGTTCCTGTGTGCTGGCAAACGCAGTTAGGGGAAAGAAAAATTCTGGAAGGGTGAAATGGGCCTACCCCTAGTTAGCCCTGGGATAATTTGTTCACCTGCCCATGCAATTGCTTTCTGCTAGGAGGGAAATCCAGAGGCCTGTTGTAATTGAACTAGATTCTTTGCCCACCTAAGTAGCACAACAGCTTGCTTTGGGGGCCAAAGTTAGCAAACTTGAGTATCAATACGTACATCCAAGCTATTGTGGCTAAATGAATGGGGGTGACTGGCCTTTTTGACATAGTAAGTGTTCCAGTATTAGTGGATTTTCCATTTTCAGACCTGAGGAAGCAAGAGGAATGCCAGCCCGTAAGACTTCAGCTGTTTTGCCCAAAAGTTAGTAGAGAAGATTTCCAGCTAAGTTTCGATAGGTGCAGGCAGAGAATATGTTCCTTCCCAAGCTAGTCAGAGAACTAATGTTTATAGATTTAGATTTGTATATCCAAATTACATGGACTCTTTATTGTGCCCTATAGTTCTTCATATAGTAGAATGATGCTTTCTACATTATATGTTTGTAAAATGTAAATTATTTTTCTCTCTTGTTTTCCTTCATTTATTTTAAAGCATTCATATAACCATGAAAATTTGCTTCAACTATGAAGTTTATAGTCTTCAATTACTAGAAGAATCTCCTAGTTTTTGTCATGCTTCATGCATATGTGAAAAGATTGCCTGAAAAAAAATACAGTGTCCTTMCATTTATAGTTCAACAGTTGTCTTTTAAAAAACCTCAAATTCTTAGGACCTTGCCATGGTCTTAAAGTGTCCTAATGTTCCAGTCAGTGTCATGCAGGCTGAAATTTCGTTAAAAGCAGGCTTAGTGAAGAGTGATGGCAAAATTGTGAAGTGCACAGCATGCTGGGGTAGACATTCCTGAATTACATAATGCTAGAAGTGCATCCCGCCCTGCCTTTCCACATTGGGCCCAGGTCTGCTTCCCATAGTGCTTCGTTCTTCCATGTTATAGTCATACTGCAGATATAGATCATTTGAATTCTGTGATACTGTCTCTTGCAAGAAAATTTGAGTTAATTGTTTGGTGGGGGAAATTTGTGGTGGCAGAGATTTTTTTTTTTCCTGATAGCTAAAACCAAATGCAGATAAAACTTATTTTGATAAACTTCCAGGAAATTCAGGGAAGAAGGAAAAACACAGAGCTGTCTTCTTGCTGTTACACAAACTGTAGCCATGGACCTGCAAAAACACCTCGACAATACTGAGAAGAATTGGAATAARGAGAAAATGGAATTGCTGGAGAGATTTGACAATGAAAGGAAAGAATGGGAATGTCAATGGAAGGTTATGCAGAAGAAAATAGAAGAGGTACCTTTAAACAAAGCTCTGAACACTAACATTTTCATCTGAGTCTTGTCAGTGAATAGAGGTTACTTCTATGATTTTTTCTGTGAATTATTTCCTACTCCCTATTCATCCCTGTCACTGAGAGTTTTTAATAACTGATGGTAGGATACAAAGCCTGGGGTGAAGTAGTATTTGCAGCTTCTCATTTAATACTCATGAATAAGAAGCAGGATCTTAAATGTCACTCTGTGTCAGAGTTGCTATAATGTTGTTGGCTGCGTATATTGCGGCCAGGTCTTCTGGGCATAAGCCACAATGCTCATTTTAGATGTGCTTTTTGCAAGTATGGTCATACTGAACAGACCTGCATGTATGAGGTTTAGGAAAATGCACATTTAGTAGCAAAATTTCAATGTAGGCATCATAATATAATTCTCTGGTAAAAAGTAATTACTTGGAGCAAGTCTGCTGGCATAAAGGGTAATATTAAAATGAATTTCATACATCAAACACTGYATGATGAAGAATTATTCTGTCAAGAGACTGCTCCATTTATGGATGACATKTAGCAGAGAAAATGGCTTTGGTAAATATAATGAAAGCCCTGGCAACAAACACTCCCTCTCTYCCATTTCTAATGCATCTCTTCCAGAAAGAGTTTAGGCAATTCTTTATTATTCTTTTATCCCCRAATTATCACTTCGGCAGATCTCTTTGGCACTCCGTAATACACACATCGAATCTTCCTTGGCAATATACCTGGGCAAGCTTTTCATCAGTGAGATTTCCATGTTTTTCATTCTGATATACACATGAAGTAGTTTTGCTTGCTCTCTGCCAACACCATCCTGTGGCTGAACATCACAGGAATGTATGGCAGRGATTGCTCACATGAAAATATGAGAAGGAAAAAGATCAGTACCAAATGAATTGCAGTCATACACTGCCCTCATTTTGCAGTGCAACTCCATCATGTCAGCTCTCTTAAATTTTGCCTGCAGGCCTGCTGGACTTCGGTATGATAGTCACTGCCAGTAGTCATGGACGTGATAGTTCTGCTTTTTTGTGTTAAGCCATTTCTGTCATGTGTTTCTTAATTATACCAAGATGAAAATGCTTCGAAAGTTAATGATGTGATCTGTGTAATTAGTTGAATATCATTTTGTATGGTTTATAAGTTTTTTTGGAATGAAGACATTACCTGTGCTGTGATGAGGCATTCTGTCATGACAGCATTATTAGAAGTCCTGGTAACCATGTGCTTTCCRTGTTTTTCTGTTAGCAAGAGGGTTAGGAAAGCAGGAGAGGGTTGAAAAAGGCATGAAGAATGGAATGGAGCGGAGGGCAAGAGAGTTGTGCCAACAGCTGGGTACTACAGGACCAGACAAAATACAGAAGATATTCTGAAGATAYTGGTATCCTAAAGTTTACTTCTTATGCTGTCTGTAGCTGCCTTGATTTCAGTTTCCTAAAACTGAAAGTGACTTTCAGTCACTTGGCTAGAAAAAAAAAGAGAGGCATACTTGCAAATGCYATCATCTACTAACACATATATCAAGTCTTTTTATCTACACCCAATGTTGCTGAGTGAAGCATTATTCAAAACACAAGGTGAATATATTCTTTCATCATGAATATCATAAAAGTAGCATGATTTGATAGAAGATTTTACTCTTTTTTTTTCCAGCTTTACCAGGAGGTAAAACTTAGACGGGAGAACAATATGAATGTCCTTGATAATAAAGACATTCATAGCAAGATGCTGCAGCTGTCCATGTATTCCCCGGCTTTGGAAGAGAGTGACACAGTGGAGCTGAACTATCAATACAATGTGGCAAATGACAGGAAGGAAAAAGGGAGTTTGCTCAATAAAACAGGACAAGACTGTAAAGAAGCCAGAGCCAAGTGGAAAACTAACGATCTGTTAAGGGACAATCTGGCCTTTGAGAACCATGAGGAACCTGAAGACAGCTTCAGCATCAAAGCTTCCAAGAAAAATGCCAAGAATTATATTGGTGATCTCAATGTAGTAAGTAAATCTATAGCATGTTTTAGTTACAAGGGTGAGGAAAACTATGAGGCCTTTGACCTACCAGGGTTAACCTAAAGAACTGATCCCCCTGATTTTAACTTCCCAAAAGACTGGTATTCCCTCCTCTACTTCCTGCTCAGTTGGATATTGATGAGCATCTTAGCAGTGATTGAATGTGTTAAAAGTGTGCTCTTTACCTCAGTTCATAACCTGGGAACATTTTCCAATCTTTCACTGTGCTATTTGCTGTGCTCTGATTCTTATATGTAAGTCACCACAAGTTTCAAAGTAATTTTAGAGGTACCATTTAAAAATGCTTAAGGAAAAGAAAAATGTTAAAGATGTAAAAATGTTAAAGAAATATCTTTATATTTATAAAGGCTCTTAAAGAACTTGCCAGAGTTAGTGAAGAATTATGCAGCTATCAAGAGGAAATTCGAAAGAAGTCCAACCACAGAAGGTAAAAACATTTTCTGGCTTCATTATGTTAGAGAAAGAAAATAAGTAATGAGATGTACTGGGCCCCTGTTCCCTTTGAATAGGGAGGTGCAGTCCAATTTATTAGGGTCTGTGTTCTGTCAGAGCTCTGAGTGTTTCAGTGCTCAGAGTAAAGTGTTCAAATGAAATATGCTGAAATATGTTAGGCTGTAACAGACAGTCTGCTGGATGTCTCTAAGTTACTACTGCAGTTGGATTAGTGTTCRTAACTTTAAAGCAAATAGACGAATAAGTGATGAATAGTTTCTAAATGCAGGCTGAGGAAGGTGATTTTTGAACAGGTCTCAGAATTTAGATTTGTACTGTCATGTTCAATGCTAGGAATTCCACGCAAGGGCTGCGCTGTGTATTAAGGATTTCCTCATTCAGTTCATAGGTAGAATCCCACTGCAGTTATTGAAATCTTGAGATCTCACTCGTTTTCCTATGAGATAGTTAAAAAAAAAATTCTTCAAAACCCTGAAAGATAATATCAGTGACACAAGAAAGGAATACCAGATTCCCTTAGTTGAGGTTTTTTCAAATTCTTCATGTATCTTTCAAATATGTTGGGTATATCAGCTGCAGCAGAACTGCTCCCAAATCCTTTTTAAGCAGCTAATCTTAAAACACCTGTTTGTGGGAAGAATGAAGGCTGAGGTTTCCTGAGGGAATATTCTTAGTACTCTTCCTTGAAATGCCTCTCCTTTTATGTGCAGAATGAAGTCACTTCCTTTCCTGGGGGAATTTGAAGAAACCCAAAACACAGTTATTCTGCCTGAGATGAACCATGTGTCCAGCAGTGAATCACAGACTTCAGTTGTTTTTGAGACGGAGGAGCATAATAACAGGAAGAATCTGATGAGTTCCACCAAAGGTTTGAAGGACTTGTCTTACAGTGCTGGTGACAGAGGAACAGACTTCAGGTCGTGGCAAAGAAAAGAAGCTCCGCCGGTTCCTCCTCGGAGCACTTCTCGGCACCTGACAAACTCGCTCTCTGCAATTGTGCAGCTTTTTGAAGCACCACTGAGAGATGCAGGTGTCAAAAGCAATTGCAAGGTTCAGGATTGTAGGAGCGGAAATAAAGTGATGAATCCTTCACCTGTGAAACAAGATGAAACTGCTGTGGCCTGTGCCAGTGAAGGACAGACTGTGAGAGGTCCTGTGGTTGTAACTGCTGCAACRCCGGTAATCAAAAATGAGTGCAATGGACCCGCGAGTTTCTGCCACAACACATGGGCTCATGACGTGAGCAAGCTTGGAAAGGAGAGCACACGTGAGCCCTCTGCACTGCCAGCCCAGAAGAGTTGTTCAGATGGAAATATGGCCCAAACCAAGACACACCAGAAACAAAATCTCAAGTCGCAGGGCGGTCATTATCACAGTAATGACTTTTATGCCCCTGCTGCCCTGCACAATGGTCTTTTGGAAGACTCGAGGTGTGCTTCGGGAAAGAGCCCCAGAAATGAAACTTTAGCAGCAAAGATTGATGAGTTTAACCGGACTGTATTTCATACAGATAAATGTAACAATTCTTTGCAAGAAAAACAGATTCTTCAAACTGCACCAGAAGATCACAAACCTTGCAGCTCTCTGTGTGACTCTGCAGTTAGCAGGACAGAAACTGTAAATATGCCCTCTATTTCAAATCCCAAGATCTCTGCAGCAAAGGAACAAGAAACTAGCAACCCTAGCAAAGCTAGCAGAGCAGCAGGGCAACAGAGGCAACTCAATGGGCTTCCAAATAGTAGTGGTTACAGGCACATGCTTCATGAGCATGACTGGAGACCAAGTAATTTATCTGGTCGCCCACGTTCAGCTGACTCAAGGTCAAACTACGGTGTTGTTGAAAAGCTTCTGAAAAACTATGAAAAATCAGCAGTGACTTCTCCATGTAATGCAAAATACTGCAAGGACAAGTGGGCACAGGCAAGTTGTCAGTTCAGTGAGACGTCAAGTCAGTTTTTAGAAATGCTCCATACTGACCAAGGAAAGCAAGAGTTTCCACGGAATTCAGCCAGACATATTGGGCAGCAATTCAAGCAAGGAAAAGAGAGGCAGAAGTTACCAGAGGTAAGGTTTGTAAGGTTGGCAAAAAACAAAATAATTCAGTTTTATATTAAACTTCAGATCCTAAAATGAGGCACGATAACATGGTATTGTAAATAATGGTGTAAAATTAGACATTCTAGGCCAGGACCTGGATGAATCAAGAGTAAATCATCTGACTTTAAGGTTATAGGAAGGTAAAAGAATAGAAATAAGCATGCCCACCGTGAAGATTTGCACGAGATTTTGATCTCTGTTGCTTGGGTGTAAAATGAGCTTAACTGCAGTGTCTCTGCAGTGCAGATATTTAAAAACTGAACTAATGAAACTGCAATCAGATTTTAGCCCTTTTAAGCTATTTAAGCCCTTTAGCTCCTCTTACTCATGTCTCAGTTTCAGGTTTGCCACATATATTCAGGAGAGGATGGCATAACTAATTAATTTGCATTTGGCTGAATATTATTTGCAAAAGTTTAGAAATGTTGCCTTTGCCTACATTCTTTCTTAATAAAATGAGAAACAGATGTTTTGGAAAATGTATTATTAGTTAGAGGTTCTGTAAATGGCCACAAAGAAAGAAAATTCACAGTTTTCCCAAAAAGCTCATTGGTCAAAGAGCAGAAAGAAATATGCCCCTTATGACCTAAGACAGGAGAAAGCAAATGTGTTTGGAGCTGAAAAACTTAAATGGATCAGATTGCCCGTTGGTATCCCTAAAACCGTCACAAGTCCACAGATTTCAGTGGAGCTATGTGGACATAAACAGCTGAGAATCCGGCCCTCCGGTACTTTTTCTTCTGCATGTCTTTATGTCAGCCTCGCAGTGGTGCAACAGCATGCTTAGCAGAAACGTCTTTACTACAGTTTAGAAGGAAAAGAAATACAGGAATCCTCAGATTTATTGTTTTTTATCCAAAGAAGATTTGATAGGAAAACAAATTTCCATCAGTAGATATGTATGGAAGAAATAATGACCATGTAATGGTCATCACTTACATCAGTGTAAGCAAGAATAACATTATTAAACGAAGGGAATTCTTTTCCTTCATAGACTCMTACTTGGTGCTGTCATTTCTATCTGTATAAAGTGAATGTAGAGTAGATCCTGATGAGGAGGTAGGTAGCACTTCGGACGCAGCAGCGCTCCCTTCTCACAGATGTAAAGAACTACAAATGGCAAGAGGCATGGAGGAATTGATGTTATTTTTACTATTTCAGGTTTGCTTTGTAACTAAGGTCARAATCTATTACCATTTTCTTTGCATATAGAGACTCTGCATGCAGACATAGCACTGCATTAATAAATAAGCACCATAAATAATTTACAAAGTATAAASTGCTTCATGTTGCCCTAATGGAACAAGTTCTTAGTAAGATGTGACTGCTGAAATAGGATCTTCCAAAAAGATGCCTGAGAAGTACATAAATCTTAGTAATGTAAGACCGTATTCTGAGTTTTATGTGTTCATACAACAGAATATTGAGTTCATTCACAAAACTTCCAAACATAAAAGAAACCTGCAGGATCAGTGGATGTCAGGCTTGACTTACATTAACATTTTATACCTTTTAGTGTGTGTGGCTCATATCCCCACATGTTTGAAGCTGCAACTGATGTGAGAATCCCTATGCACAGAAATATCTATTCTTTTGCGTTCTGTGCATTACTGCGTGCCTTTTAATAGCTTGAGAGCACCTGTTCAGAGGTCACCCCAACTGTGTTCCTGCATTCCCTTTGCATTCCACAAAAGCCTTTTGTGCTGCAGCTTGCTAAAGCGAGGGGTTTCGTTTGTGTCCTAGGTATCGGTGCCTGCTAAATGTTCCAGCGGAAACGGCTTCTCCCGGCCGGCTCGGCCAGCAAACCGGCGCCTGCCGTCCCGCTGGGCCTCCAGGTCCCCGTCCGCGCCGGCCGCTGCGAGGAGGACGGCGCACAGCTCTGCCGTGCCCTTCCGCCCTGAGACCTCGGCACTCTGAGCCCAGGGCTCGTGGGGAGCGGCGCTGGGAAAGCTCCGCTCCCGGCTGTGGCTGCCGCGGGGCTCTGCGCGGCCGCCAGCCCCGCTGCTGCCTCTTGTCCCAGGGGGATCCCCTCGCCCGGCCTGCTGGGCAAAGCGCWTTGACTCACAGGGCATCGGCACAGTCTTCAGTGTTTTTATTGAGATGAAGTAACTCTACTCCCATTTTTCTCTGATTTTTTTTTCTTTTTGGTAATCACTCACAAGGAATTTTTTTTTTTTTTTTGAATGGCATCTTTGTTAGTTTGCCACTCAATTTTGAGTTAAAACTATGTATAGTGCTGTATATTCCGACTCTTTTGCAAATAGCAGAAGATAAAGCTGTATGCATGATCATGTGTTTGTAGGTGCATGTGTTGGAATAGGAAGTATACAGGTCTGTATTTAGAAGAGACAAACTGTGCTAGTGTTGACTTTGAAATTACAACTTATCTGCCTACATATATATATACTTTGTGTTTATTTTAAAAAGTTTGAAATATACAGTCCTGATGACATTTATATTTTGTATATCTTTTACATAGGYTCACAGGTGTAGTATTTAATGTACAAAAACTAAATATGCATTTTTGTGACTCTRACTGCAGCGATAATGCCTTGCACAACGCGTATCTGAAGCAGACTCGCCCGACGGATTCCCAGGTCATGCTTCGTGGCATCCTTGTTCAGTTTCTCAATCCATGCGATGCTAGGTCAAAGGACCCAAACGTATTTTTTCTGAATTAAAATACTATATGATTTATACCACGTTAGCCTTTTTCAGCACCAGAGACATTCCTGAAATCCCAACCCCTTAAAAAGCTTAAATGTGCCATTATATATATAGCATACTGTAAACATTTAACTTTAGTAGATTCAACTAGTGTAATATATGATTTATGAAGGGAAGAAAAGAGTTGTCTATGCTCAATTCTGTAAAACTTATTTTTCCTTCTAGCGTTATTCTTTGAGGTTTGGCCAAGTCACGTAACAAAGGACTTGTTTCCTTTCACTCAAGGCAGGAGAACAAGGACTGTTGTTGTCCGCAGTGCTGCAGACGCCCTCTTTTCTACTCTTCTCCTAGACTGGAGTGCCTGAGTCTCTTGCCACTCGCTGCTCCCCGACTGACTTATGGCAGTCACGACGTTTACCTGCACTCTGGCAACAAGCTGCATATGGTATGGAAATAGTGCATCGAGGTGCAATCACATGGTGCCAGAAACCCTAGACAAATGGCACTGGAAGTCTCTTTTTTGCCATCRTCTGACTGTATTCTCGACCGCCCAAATGATGTGTATGGATATGCATGGGTGCTACAAAAACTCTTGCTGAACTTTCAGAATGACGGTGTCCTACATCCTGGAATTTTTGCACCCTTCTCCAGRCTGTTGCTGGATGCATAGTGTGCTAATGATGATAAATGTTACCATTTAACAGCATGTCTAGGTTCAAAGGAGTAAAGAAGCACTTCTTCAACATCAGCCTAATCTTATGTCTTGCACCTTTTCTTCTTCCCCTGGAGAAATACAGTGTGTTCAAAGGCATTTCAGAAATCATCCCACGATGCATTAACATGCACATCTTCCTACATGAATGTAAAAAGGATTTCAGAGAGAGTATAGGCTTTTTGTCCTAGTGAATTGTATGTGTGGCAAAATAGGGAAAATTAGGTGTGCTTATCTTGATAGTGATTTATTGTCCTACTCCAGTCATGTTGAGAATCCACAACCTATTGCTTCCTTTTAGGACCTTGTTCTTCTTTCTTTGGCACAGCTATACATTTGCAGGGAGAGCAAACAGAAGACCACCTTTTCTGAGCTCCACAGCCTGTGTGGTAGGATCAGGACCGTTTCAGGCGCCCCAGTGTTGGGACAAATAGGCATTAGAGCCAAAAATCCAGCCTCGTCCCACCACTGTGGAGGTCTGCATGGCAAAGATGTGCTCAGAGGCTTTTCCCGATCTGGAGTTCCTGCTCCTTTCCATGTGTTGAAACACAGGAAGGCCTCAAGCAGACAAACATTTTATTGCAGTGTCCTCAGACATTAGTGCGAAGTTATTACTGGAAAAGTTTTGAGGACACAAAACCTTGAAGCAAATTTTTTTCCTGGTTGAATAGAGACAAAAATCTGTCTGCTTGAGGGAGAATTCAAGAGAACTGTAGATTTACCTGTTTGCCCTAATTTGCAGATTGCACTCCGTTCAAACTTCCCTAGAGCTAGAAAAATTATAGATGCTTTAAAGTTAATTTGGAACATTGCTCAAGATTCTGTCTAACTGTGAAAATCAGCAAACCAGATGCCTTGCAAACTGATCTTTTAAATACCTGAGTAGCTGAATAGCTTTGACTGCCTAAAGCTGAGGAGAGGATAATATTACAGAATTGTGTAAATTATTACTTTTCATTTCAGTCAGTGTTGACTGTGGTAAAACTCTTCTTTAAATTACCTCATGGTAATCTTGAACGGTTTTGTTCTGAAAAAAATGGTGGTGAACTTTTGTTTGAAGTATGTAACTGTATGAACAGTTTCCCTTGATAGTCAATGAAGGTGTTTTTTTAGCTCACTTCAGTTTCTTTGATTACTTTTGACATAATAACATTGTTGAAAAACAGAGAAAGGACCTACAGCACTCCCTAATGTATGTAAGTTTAATCAAAAGGAGGTTTTGGAAATAAACTAATAGGTCACGGACAAGTCCCTTTTGTCAAGATGTTTTTGTGTCCATACACATTGGTTTTGATGGCCAAAATCATCAAAACTGGTGCTTTTGGCCTGTGGATGGCTAGGTGGATATACCATTTTTAGAAGCGTGCCCTGAGACTGTTTAAATATTGTCTCTTCAGACATACCCCTAACAGGACCGGGGCATCGTGGTGAATATCTCAGTTCCCAGAGCTTGGATTGCTAAACCTCAGGTACCACCTATCTGCTGTGGGAGGAACGAGCTCTGTCCAGGGGTCCCCACACAGGCTACGACAGAGAAATGGCTTTGGCATTTGCAGGCTCTGAGGTAAGAGAGTCTGCACACACACACACCCCTGCACTCACTCAGGAACCACAGATAATCTTAAGTCTAACTTGACCTTTCTGTTAATCCTAGGATCACCTACGGGAGTGTTTAGTTTTGCAAGCCTTCTCTTAAAATGGCAGATTTAATATTATTTCTCTGTATGTTGTCCCAAGTCTTAGTGCAGAAGCAGTTGTTCTTTACTTAATTCTGAACAAGCCTAAGATTCTCTATGCTGCATGTTYAAGGGCATTAGTAATGAAATAAATACAGCAGGGAGTTTCAGAGCGATGAAAACTTTAAAATAAGTAACAGGGCAGCCACATTAAACTGCATCCATTCTCACACAAAGTTTTTTTTAAAAAAAAGAGGAAAAAAAAGAAAAAAAAAAGCAAAAAGAAAAAAACAACAAGCTGCCCACTGAAATATTCACAAACTGTCAAAGCTGAGGGGATGACAGAAAGAGGAATCTCCCTCACACTGGGAGATGGAGCCTTAGTCTCACCCTAAATCCCCTATGAGGGAGGAGGGTGCCAGAGCAGTAACGCACAGAAAAGAGTCATTTAGTTTTTCTCGACACAATGCAGCACAGCAAACCTCCCAATGCTAGAAATTGGTCTCACTGCCTCACTCTTAGAGGCAGAAGGAATAGAGAAAAAAAAAAACTTTTGCCATTAACTTTGGATATTAATCCTCAAACTCACTCAGTGTTTCCACTGAGTGTTTTGCCTTTGCTGTGTTCACGATAGTCTTCTCATGAATCTTTAAAATGTTGCTGAAAGGATGAACTTTGCTTGTTCTCCAGCAGCAATACAATTATCTCTGACCATTACACCCACGGTAAGGGGAATTAGCTGTTATATACAGCAAAGACTTGGCAATTGGTGTATTAAAATTTCCCAGAGCAATCAGAGCACCGGGTTATTTCTCCAGTTGTCTATTTAAGAATTTGTCTTTGTAAATAGGTATTTTGTATCCAAATGGCTTCAACAGCATTGTAGCAAAGTTATACAGCATCCCAGCAGGCAGGCTAATTCCCTTACAAATTTTATTATTTCTGGATGAAGCTGAAATTTCTTAGCATGCAAGAACTTATGCAATTCTCACAGGGCTGCTATGCAAGGAATTTCTTTGGCTTTGGGACCTGTACTGTACAACTCTAGCCATTATTCTGCTGATATTCTCTGTTGAACTACTCTGTCCTCTTAATTGTGTACATGCTCTTTGCACTGGAAGGCAGCCGGTGTTTGCTTTCCTCAACTAAATCAAAACTCCGTGCTGCCTCTGGCCTTTCTACCACTCCTCCATTCCCAGTGGATGTGTATTTTTATGCAGTATCTTGCCACTGTTCTGTATGCATATGACATGGGGTTTTCTATTTGTACTGCTGTCAAAGTATTTTTTTGGACATTCTGTTCTTAAAAGTGATGATATTATTGCCATTCACAAATATACTTTCTTCATAAGCTGCTAGTGCCACGCACGAAATGCTTTGAAATGATGATTGATCTGCTCTTGAGGTTTSCTTCTCTCATTTCTTCCTCCAACATCCTTCCCTCACCCGCTGCTCCTATTTTCTGTTTTGCAAAGTACTTCCCTCAGCAGAAACACGTTTCCAATGTGCACTGTTCATGCAGTTGCTGTGTGGCTATGGATCTTGTTCCTTACCATGCCTTGTTAACAGTGCTACTCCGGAAAGAACTGTAGCAGAATTTCCATGGGTTATGACAGACGRAATCCTCAAAATGATCGAAGTGGAAGTGTGAAAATAAAAAATCAGAAAGAAAGTAGAAGAATCAAATAGGAGGGTGCAACACCTGTAGTAAATGTGTCTAGTTCTTCTCTTCTAGTTGAAGAACTCTCTTCATTACGTGCTGCATACCACCTGAGACTGCCAGCAAGGTATTGCCTCTTTCTGATCAGTGCCTTTGTGCATGTGCTTTTCTTCTTCATGAGCATGTAACGACAAGAGCTACCRAAAGACTCCTAGTACCAATTTCAGACTAATACCTTCCTCTTCCCATTTTTTCATGKTGTGGCGGTTACTGAAGAACAGTTTACCTCATTTGCTCATTCCTTCCATGGTGTGGGGTTTTGTGGCATGGGATGCTGGTAGGTATGTGACACGCACACGGCGTGACCGTGACCACGGTGGAATGCAGAGCCCATGTGGGACTCCYTCATCCTACTGCTGGAATGTGGAGGTTCCTGGAGAATAAATGGCAACCAACCCTGGGCTTGAGTAAAAGGAGAGCCAGCGTGTGCCTGACCCCCGCCGGGCATKACACGTAGCCAGACTGCGCAAGGACAAGCAACTTTGTTCCCCAGTACAGGGCGCTTCTTAGTACGCTGGGAACATGAGCTACCATCTTGAGGTATCCTCTGCAGCCAAGACCTTCGCCAGTGGCGCCTGGGGAACAAGGGCGAAGCAGAACTTGCCCTAGGACAGGGCATCTCCTGAATTTGGATCGGGTTCATTTGATGCAATGTTAAATCCCCCACAATTTTCTAGAGAAAAGTGAAAAAAAGAGGAAAAAAAGAGTAGTTAGTGTAAAATTCTATTGTTTTCCAAGGCACAGCTGTGCTGTGCCTTTTCTCAAGCAGCTGAAGTTTAGAACATTTCTGCTGAAGGGTGCAGAGTTTGGCTCCTCTCTTTGGTGCCTGTTTCTATGCTTATGGCCGTGATTCATTGCAAAATGACACTGGAGAAAAAGCTCCCTATATCTTACACTTTTAAATCATTTTATCTAACATGGCAGCAAAATAATCTGTTCCACTTCCTGGGATACTGTTTCCCTTTCCTAGGGCGTAGCAGTGATCCCAGTCAGAATGGGCAGGAGGGCAGGAACTGCACCCATGTGCCCAGAGTGCAAAATAAAGGTGCGCAAGCTGGCCTGGCTGATAGCAATGGGTGAGCTAAAATCTCTTGACTTTGCACCCCAGTAAAGCCGTGGTTACTACAATACGTGGTGTCTGTGAGTGCCTGCACTTCTAGTAGCGTGGGATTAGAAGCAACGTGTCATGGGGATCTTGGTGCTAAGGAGCCCCAGTGCAATCACCTCTCAGAATGATGCCTGGAGGAACCTGCCTGTCATTCCSCTGAGGAGGTCACTGCAGTTGGAAGAATCTCTAGGATCACTAGTTCATAGTAGAAAAGAATGTTTCTTAAAGAAAAATGCACTAATATGTGCCCTCTGCAAATGCTGCACTGACACCTGGCCTGGTGACATGGGACAGCTTGCTGAGTTTCACTTCTACATCATGAGATAGCTGCAGATGGTTAGATATTCTGGTACCATAAATGATGCAGCTGCTTAAGATATTACTGTTGGAAGGGAACTCTAGACAAACGTAGGTAAAAGTGCACAGTTAATCATATGAAGTGCTCCTTTCTTTATAGAAAACTTCTAGTTTCCGCAAGGACATTCTGGTGGGTTTGGGTGAGRTTGGATTGCTTTGTGCAAAATCACCTGAAGGCGGATGGCCTGCCCTAGCTATTCCGGTAGGAGCCTGCACAGGAATTCTTCTGAATTCCTGTGTAAACCAAAATATCTACTTTGGCTCCCAAAGGAAGGAAGATGTTCACAAACTGGCTATTACCCTTGCACATCTCCAGTTTATATATGTTTATCCACTGGAAGCCCCACATTGTCTTTTGGAGCTATTTGTCAGCTGTGTCAGACACCATTTATTTTATATATATATATACACACATATATATATATACACATATATATCTACAACAGTCAGACATGTATTACATCATAGAAATAAATTATCTGTAATACTGTGTGCAAACAGATTCCTCCCAAACGATGGTACTGAAATACTTCGCACATTAAAAACAGCATGGAAGTTAATGGAATCTTGCAATTTCCTAAACCACATTTTCATGTGAACAAGTAAATGGAATCAGCTTTTGAAATAATAATAAAATGTTCATATATGCCACTTCTTCCATCCAAGTATCTTAAGCCTATCTGGTAGGCTTTGATCCTCTTTTTGCTTCTTGCACTACAGTGAAACAAGGGATGGTCAGAACAATCCTTTAGCTCGCACTGGAAATGACTAGCATCGCTCTGTGCAAGCATGTGAGACATTAAAAGCACTCTGAAGCTCAAAATAGCAAATCTCATTGCTGTCCATGCAAAGAGGCTGTACCTCCATTTTTCCTCTCTTAATTTTCCATCTACTTTGAGGCTCAGTAGTTTAATGTATTTTTTCCTTTTCTACTTCAGAGAAAATATTTGTGTCTTCTGTGCACAAATTTGTCTCCTTTTCAACAACCTCTTGATAGATTTCTGCAATGTGAATCAGCTTTACAGCAAAATTTCACAGTGATTTGGACCGCAAGTGACAGACTCCTGATTCTTTATAGAAAATTAGCCCAAAGTTGAACTAGATGGACAAAGGGCCAAGAAGAATGAAAGCTGTTTAAAAATCTCCAGCCAAAGTGATCTGCAGTTCAGCCCACCATGGCTTTAAGAACTGAGCCGTCTTTTTAAGCTCAGCCCTGGGAAATTGGCCAACTTGTTCCTGTTGT